AAAATCCCGCTAAGTGAGCTACTCGCGCTTTGCGGGCTTCAAAACTTCACTTATGCCAAATCTCACGCTTAGAGGATGCGCTTAGCGTGGTCCCCTGAACAGAATTTCTTAAAACTGGTCTTTTATTCCGAAAATGCGCATCTGCAGTCGTTTCGATACCTTATTCCTCGATTCTCCAAATATGCAACAATACCTGCAAAAGAAGTAAATTCTATCAAATGTTACACCAAATGAATCAAAAACACAATTATATACAAAATAAATGAATTTATTAACAAAGCGGGGTTTTATTCAACGAATATCAATAAAAGAACTGATAAGTTCCACAAAACGTATGCACAAAATAATGACATTTTGGCACTTATCACTTTATCGCTTAGTAGAATGATAACATGATAATGAATGTAGTGTTTTATGCAAAATCTGGTCATGTATCATTTTTCCATTATTTTCATGTTTGAATCATTAGGACAAAACCACATAAGTGAGTGACTTTCCAATATTCACCAAATTAAATTAATTTCTAGTAATTGTTGTTTTAGCTCGTACGATTCATGTTAAATCTTTTATTCAATTTGAAATCTTTGAAACATATAAGTGGTCAAGGCATTATTTTTGTAAATGAGAAAAACCACCAATACCAAAAGGGCTTCTTTCAACCTTGATAGTGTGTGCGCATTTGTTAACCCTTTTGAGTCATAAAAAATTTTTTTTTAATGAATCAATCAAAAGACCAACAAGTTATTAAGTATACCACTTAGTGATTTCGTTGTTGATCAAAAAGAAGTTCATTGTTGATTCATTCTAAAATTTTCTTGTTTTCAAACAATTGACCCAATTGTTTAATTAACTTTGAATGAAGAGCATTTTCTTGTCTAAAGAGAAAGAAATGCATAAAGTTGGGGAGGGTATTTAATAGAAAGAAAGAATTGGTGGCACAATGCATCCTTTGAGAAAAAAAACAAGAATAAAGAAAAAGAAATTGAAAATAAAAGAAATTAAAGAATCAAGAATAAAAAGGAAAGTTGCATTGTGAGAAAAGAAATCAAATAATGGGAAGAATTTAAGGATTGAGCAAGAATGAAAGTTGTGAAAAAGAATGAAATGATCTTCATGATCTTTACTCATTTTTGTTTCAATGGTCTTATATATATTATCCTTTGTTCTTAACCCCATCCAAGTTACAACCTATAAAATTCATTTAGTGATCTTTGTTTCCTTGATTTTCTTTTTGTTTGATGAGATGAATGCATGAATTATTTCGGATGTTAGCACAATTACTAGTGAGAGTGTTTTGTCCCTTGTAAATAGTTGTACATAGTTCATGTTTTGTTGATTGAGAGTAGGTGATTCAAGTATGAACATGATGTTTCTTAATTATACATTGGTTGATGTTTTGTGTTTAGAACTTAGTTCATTGTCATGTTTTAATTCTGAGAAAGAATTCTGTGATTACTTTTGTGCGCGTATTTGTGAGTTTGGGCCATCCATTTTTATCTTGTTACCTTTTCTATAGTTTCATCTTGTTTTTTGTTGAGATTTATCTTTGTTCGAGGACAAACAAAGAAGCAAGTTAGGGAGAGTTGTTAGGTACCAAAATGTGTTAGTATTTAGTATAAATTAGTGGTGCTTTTCGATTCTATTTATCGCATATCCTTGTATTTCCCCTTGTTTTTATGTAAATAACTGTATTTTGATTTAATTGAGTAAATAGTTTATAGTTAATCATTTTTGTCTAAAAATTGTAGGTTATACTTTTGGATTGAAGCTCGGGCAATTGAATGGCTTTGAGGATGATTAAAAGCAATTTTTGGGATAATTTGCATGCTTCAGGTCGCGCTTAGAGCGCTCTCAGCGCGAAGAATGGAGCAGGAGGCAGTGAGCTTGGCGCTAAGCCTGGTATTTGGCGCTTAGCACCCTAAAAGGTGGTTTAAGCTGTAAGTGAGGGCGCGCTTAGCGCGAGATACCACTCTTAGCACAGTCTGCGATGTTTTCCCCTTCTATTTATAGGTGTCTTGAGATATTTTGTGGGTGTTAACACTTTTTGGAGATAGAAAACAAAGAAAATTATTGTAGAAGCCAAGAAATCGAAGAATCGAAGCCGGTTCCACATCAATCGTCGAGAAATCAACGTTGATGCTTGATCATCTTCTTTTACTTGTTATTGAAGCTACCACATCTATGGATAGCTAAACTTCTCTCGTGTTATGATTAGAGGTAGTTAATCTATGTAGCATGTAATCCTTTTGATCCTTTGTATGTGAACAACTTTATGATCAATATAGACGCTAATATTTGATTTTATTGTTGTCTCTTTGATTTGAATCACTATTGAAAGGTATTTTTTAAACCATGACCTAAGATTATCATCTATCAATGAACAAACTCTAGACATAAATTTGTGAGTTGATATTCACATGTATCAAGCTTTAAGATTATTGTGTTGATTGTTGGCATGAGACATCATCTAGTAATAAACACAATAATAGTCACAATATCGCTTTAGAGATAAGTGGTATCAAGAGGATACATGATTACATTGATCATCGACAAGTTTACATGCTAGATCATTAAGATATATATGAAATAGATTAGTGAACCCTAATCTTGACATGCTTTTTAATCCGTAAAACCAAAACTTTTTACCGTTGCTAACTATTTTTCATGCAATCAAAATTTTCCGATACCAAAACATTTGATAAACTCTTACTCAAAATATTATAAACTGCATAATGGCAGTAATATCACACCAATCCATGTAGAAACGATAAAGAAAATACTTATCCTAACAAAAGTGTTTCAACATGAGTAAAGTTTATCTTGGACTACTTACTAATGATGATGACAATGATGACAACAATAAATTCTTTATTTTAATTGTTTCTCGATTTTGTGTTTTTTATTTTCTTGTCTTTCTCGTTTTTGTAATCAACTTTTCTCCTCAGATATAATAAAAAATTATGTTCGCAAGTACGTGATACATGTGGTGTATGTGTTTATTGTTCTTTTTCTCGCCTTTTTGATAATGCTTGAGGAGAAAAAATATAGTCTCACGTGGAGTAAAATATAATCTCTTTATCTGGAAAGGGGAGTTAACTACTAAAATTTGTTTATCTATCTCTTTTTGTTTTACTACCTCCCTATAAGACACATCATTATCAAAAAGGGAGAGAATGTGGTTCTATATGATGTGTAGGCACCACCGTAAAATATTTTTAGTTTTGATGATGACAACTCTTTAAACAGTCTTTCATAAGAACATCTGGATAAATAATAAACCATGACAACTCTTCTGAGGGTTCTTGATGACAATCCTTCCAAAGGTTCTTGACAACATCTCTTCAAAGGGTTATTGATGATGGCGTCTGAACAAGAAAATGATATCACAATTCTCATTAGTCAAATGTTTCAAGTTGCATTTGAAAGTGTTAAACAATGTTGAATCATGCAAAGGAACATGAAGTTATGAAATTGTGAAAGTGTGAAAGCTCGTATGATTCCACCCTTAGTGTTTTTAGTTTTTATCAATTAATTGTAAATAGAACAAGAATAAGTCTTGAGGTACTATTGAAATACACAAACACACATACTCAAAGAAAAATTCTTAAAAAACTCGCGCCCATGCATTTGATGTCTCTACATAGACCAACTGAACTGTCTTAATTTTGATGAAAGAGAAAGCGTATAAAAATAAAAAATGAGATGAGAGAGAGTGTTATACAACAAGAAAAAGACTCAAAAGAATCACGCTTTTGGCGCCTTAAAAGCAGCAAGACATTGCTCGTGTTGCAGCTAGAGACTCACTAGAGTTAGAGTATAATAGACATTTGAACCTCCCGTTTGAGCAAATTAGTCTACATGTGTTGAAATTAGTGGATATACCAGAAGGTTTTATCCAGAAAAAATGCATTGAGAAGAGTCCATTTGACAAGGGTTAAAATCAGAGAAATCTTTGAGTATATAAAGCGGTTGATTTAGAAATTCTCAACAATAAATATAAAAAGTACATTTAACTAAACAATTTTAAGTAACATTTAATCTTATTAATTATCTTATTATCTTTATTAAGACAGAATATTGCATATTGCATAATTTCTTGTAAGATATCATTTGCATTCTATTAGAATCATCGCAACCGTGAGTAGGCACAGGTATTAGATTACTACTATTATAAAATCCTTTGCAAAAAAAAGTAATTTCAATTCTAAAATTAATATACGTGTAAGCAACATGCTGACTATTGTTCCGCTTTATTAATTAGATTCAGTTATGCGCGATGAAATAAATTAGATAAATCAAATATAAGACAGTGGGAAATTCTAGAGAGTAGACATCATTGGATTGGTTGGTAGTGCATAATTAAGCTAACAATCTTGTTCAATCTCCCATACTAATTTCCTACCATTGCAGAAAAGAAATACGCATACCCATACCTAAAACCACAACTCCAAAGGGAGTATTGAGAAAGCAATCTAATGGAGGAATAGAGATGATCAATGGATGGTGGAGAAAGGAGAGTGTATTAAATATGAGTTGGTCGATGAATGAGTCCAGTGCTTCACTTTCACAATCTCATCAGCTAATTTATATTTCTCGGAGACGGCACACAATAGAGAAGAAGCTGAACGTTTTTATCCCGTAGTTCTTGAGATTCATAGGTAATGGCTATATAGGAAGAAGCATTTTACCTTAACATAATAATAGATAATAGATAGATATAACATAGGAGGCCAAGACATACTAGTACATATCAAGAAAGAAGAACTAAATGCATTCAGCTTACCCTCCCAAAGCAAGTTTCATGGGCAAGAGGTTATTGTATCAGAAATTTAAAGAAAGAAGCACATAAATCTTCCTTGAACGCTTAAGATATATTTCCCTATTGACTCAAAATGTTAACATAGTAAAAAAAACAACTATGCCAGTTGATAATCTAATCTAGAACACAAGGCATAATGTCAAAGACATAAATCCAAACCCAAAGTCACTACTACAAAGCATTAACTTGCTTGTGCTTCAACTTTTAAGTCACTGTCTGTGGAACTTGTCAACGTTGGTGAAGCTTCTGATGCTTTTACTACATTTGGGAGGTACCTCCAGCATCGCTTGTGAACTCCACTAATTTTTTTTGGAGCATCTACTAAAGGCAAACCTGCATTAATTTACATGAACAGATATCAAAGCATGCCAGAGAACAGTACTAAAAAATGCTTCCGTACTCATAAAATGCAGACTTTATTTTTGGTGTATAATATTTTATTTATTACTGCTACAACAAATTTCATCTAGCTTATTGAATAGTGAAGCTTCTAAGCAACATATATACAATTGTTATATAAGCAAAGTTAACAGATCATCTAAATGTTACTTGGAACACGACTGAAAAAGACGAAGTTTACCTCATACAAAGAATAAAAGCATTCAAATTCATGAGCATATTCAAGCTCCCACTTAAGTTCAACATTAAAAATAATGAAAAATATAAGCATTACAGTACCATAATAACACTTGCATGGAAAATCCCTACAGATATGCAATACCTTCATTTACATACACACACTACACACTTAAAATTGATGAAGCTTATTATATCTTCATTTCTAGGTTAGAGTCTACTGCTTTGATCAAAAGGAAAATCCAACCAAATGTACTTTCAATCATAACTGCTGTGGAGTAGATTCTGTACTGAAATCTTTAACCATTTGCAGGGAGTGGGTGATTTTTCCAACTTAGAAGGAAACCAACCTCAAGTCAAGCTGAAATGTGAGTATGTGACAATTTCATTTCAGCTGTGCTATTACTAACTATATCACTTACAGGGGGCTTTCATAATAAAATAATTTTATCTAAAAGTAGAATAGAACAAAGATTAACGTTAGCCCAAATACATCCCTTATAATGTAGGGTCATTCACTTTGTTTTTTAATTATCAATAGTTTTTTACATGAAAACGGAGTTCAACTTTATGTCTACAATCAAGTCATAATACAAAAGTATGTTGGACAGGGACTTCATCTTGGTTTGAAGTCAGTGATCCATTGAGCTATGGGATTTTATTAGTAATATAAATAGAGATATGGTATTTTATTAGCAGAGTTGAGTGGGCTTATGTACTAGATATAGTGGTTATACTATTATAGACTTCTTTTTGCTGTGTATGCTAGCAGCCAATGTTGAAGGGTACATGCTTAAGGCTTTTTTATTTCCTATTTGGATTGAGCTAAACATTAGTATTGGTCTAGTTGATATTTTGCTCAAATCTTTAGTATTTGCACTGCTAGAACTTCAATAACTAAAAAAAGCTGACCTTTGTCAACATCGTTCGAACACTTAACCAGTTAAGGTTAATCATTTTGTGAATATCCTACATTCCTACTACAATCTGAGGGTACAGGGCTAGCAATAAGAAAACTGCACACCAATCAAAAATAATGCTGTAAACAGATTGGTAGCTAAAAATATCTTTCTTGAAGAGTGTAGGGTTCTCAGATGCTCTCTCAAGTTTGAGAAAGTGTTCAAATTTTTAACTATTTGGAGTTGTTAAAGTCAGACATACACTTCAAATAAATCAGATAGAACACTTTGTCTGCAACTCACAAGAATTAGAGAAAAGAGCCATAACAGCATCCTCCTTAACACTTATATTGGAAAACACAACATCATCCGTTCATTCCAAATAGTTTACAAACTTTAAATTTTGATAAAACAAGATTAGGGATGAAGAGTGAGTTTTCACCCAAAAATAAAAGAAAAGGACATTGGTTTGTGATGCTAATAAAGCCCCAAAATTCTGAATTCTGTGTAAGATTCTAATCAAATTTAGGATCAGAACCTTTTGATTACATTAATAACTAGTACGGAAGAATTACTAATAGATTGATTTGGTAATTTCCCTATTTTAAAATAAGCTCAATCATGGTGAAATTTCAATCTGTTATTTGTTAGTAGTCCTGAAGATAAGGTTTTGTTTGAGTTATAAAGTTCACTTTGTCTTGGTATTATAAACTATGAGAATATAATTTAGAGTCAAACTAGCAGGTTCGACAAAAAATAAGTTCTTGAACTCAAATATGCATAACCACCAAATTACAATCTTTGCTAGCAATACATATTTCATCCTTCAAGAGTACAACCATAAATATAAAAATTGAAGGTGTCCCGGATTTGCTCTTCAACTAGAAAACTTAGCTAAAAACATAAGTTCTGACTTAAAAGAAAAACTAATTACAAATATCTTGGTTTTGACTTTTGATGATGCTCTAGATTTTATACTATCACAACACATTATATAACAGAACCAGAAATGAACACAATTACTTTCTTCAAGAAAAGAAACAAATAGCAAAAAATCACTGCCCAAGATCTTGTCATAAATTAACCAAACCTTAAAAAAGCAATAAAGTGGAAGCTACAGAAGATGATGCTATGTTTAATCCTCATAAACAATCCAAAAACCATTATGCACAGCCTGACTAAGTGACCCAATGACCATATGCAACTTATATCAAATAAATCAGATTTTGGGATACTACCTTAAACATTAAAGATGTGGCTTACTTGAGCAAGAACATAACTTTTTGGTAAATTTTCATGAAGCAATTCCACAGTTCCAGCACTCAAAAACACATCTAGCTTCATTATTCAATAAACTTATTCATCATTAAAAACTCAAAACCATAAGATAATTTGAGTGACGACCCATAGAATCAACAATATGCACCCCAAGCAATATCTGTATTTAGGTTCTTTAGAACACAACAAAATTTACCCTAACAAAAACACAACAAGCAAATTGCAAGCACGTGGATAGAAAATGTATTCACTATGCCCAACGATAAAGAAATCACAACAAAGGTAAGACTTTATATGAAAAACCAAAGTTAACCAAAACCGAATAAGACTACAACAAAAGAGCAATCAGCCATAATCTACTTATATCTAAAAGAGAAAGCAGCCCTTATTTTATCACACAATGGCAGTTTCTATTAGAGCAAAAGGTATGAAATTTTGGCATGCAAAAAATATAATACCCAAAACATAAAGAAGCATTACCGATAAGTTTTCAAGAATAAAACATGAATCTTAATCAATGGTTTAGTACTAGTACCATAGAAAACCTTCATTTAAAACAAAACACATAGAAGTGCACTAGTTTAGCTTTACAATCTCTAGAAAGCTAGGACTCTAATAGTGATATGCTGCTCACATTATTCTAAACAAATGTTATACAAAAGTGTGAAAACTAAGGTTTTTATCAACTGAATTTGATATAGTAGGATATAATACCACTAATTAACCATATAAAATATTTAAAAACATAAAAAATGCTGGCTTAGAACATTTATCAAACAGTTCATGAGCAAACTAGAATAACAAGAAATACAAACCCATCTGAGAAACTAATAACTAACCGTTTTTATGAGCAATGCCCCATGCTTTGCCATGTTTTCCATCCTACAAACAATATACAAAATCAATAAACAAACGGGAATGTGAAATTGAAGAGAAAAACGAAATGGGAAGAGAACCTTGTAGAGATTGAGTTTAGTGATTTCGTAAGAAACTTCTTTCCAGTGAGTCTTGGCCATGTGATATCCGATTCCCCAGCTAGGTAAGAACTGGGCCACTTCGAAAAAGTTTTTCTTTTTTCTTCGCTTGGATTTCTTAGTAGTAGCGGCGGCATCAGAAGGAGAAGGAGTAGAAGATGATAGGGTTCTGATGAAATTGAGAGGAAATCGGAGTAATGAAGAGTTTCGAAGAGGGTGAATTCTGTTACCTAATGCACTCGACATGGCTTCGGAACTTCTTACTCTCTCCGGCGGCTATAGCGCAAGAACTGTAAACAACAACCACGAGTTATTCTAATGTAAGGAAAAAAATTGTTGGAAAATAAAAAATGAACCCCGATAACATGAGTTTATAAAGCTCGCCTATATAGGTTCAGGTTACGGTCTACCGATTCTAGTTAAGTTTAAACTTTTTTATAGGATTATTTAGTTAAAAATGTTAGATCTTAGACCATGAAAAAAACTTTTTAAATTTATATAAATAAACATGAATAGTTTTTTTTATTATCATTGTGTTACTTTTTTACTTTGAATCAAAGTACATAAATAAAATTTGGTTATCTTTGAAAACTTATGAAAATAAGATGAAAACATCTTATGAATAATGTTATAAGTTGTTTTCACAAGTCCTCTTAAACAAATAGTCACACAAAATTTATTCTATTGGTAAGTTAAAATAAATCAATGAGAACAAACTTTTAGTCTCATTGATTTTTTAGTTTGTTGGTCTATTTAAACATTTTTTAAATTTCTTATTTACATATGTCTAAAATAATAGGCTTTTATGTAGGCTAACATGCTAACCAAACTTTAGAAAAGGCCAGGCTCAGGCCTAAAAATAAATCTATGACAGGCTACAGACCAGGCTTAGGCTTCAGTTTTTTTGGCAGGCCAGACTCAGGCTTGGCAAAGCCTAACTCGGCCCCGCTTATTTCCACCCCTAGTCAGCGGTGATTTGTCGCCTTTGTTTTCACACCAATGTTAAAAAGTCTTGGCAAAGCCCCAACTCTCTGGATGCAATTGTGAAGGAGCAATCAGCAAATGATTTAAGACACTGATCTCAAACTCATTAAATGAAAGATAATAACCAATTGAGGAGAATCGACATTCATAAAATGGGATAGAACACCCACCATATTAGTGTTTACCGGTGTTTTTGGTAATCAATCACGAGTATAAAAAGCAAGTGAGATTAACTCGAAAAATATCCAAAGCAATTTGTGCAAATGATTTGTGTGAACACGTGTACTATGAATTGAATGTAGTTGTCGTTTGGACGATAACGGCGTAGAAACAAACTTTAAATGAAGGTAAGTTGTGATAAATGATAAGGTAAAATGCAGTAAATGACATTAACCAAGAGTGAAAATGGAAGCAAAAGAAAGTAAAGGTTTCATTTAAGAAAACAAGAAAACAATGAAAAAACATAATGCATACATACACATGTTTCTCACACATTATTTCGCTCTTTGACTCAGATACTCTAGTGGTATGGGGAGTATGTATGAAATTTTGTGACCTTTATTGTTTACAACCTATGTTGAGTTCTAACCACTTCACACTAAACACATGTTTACAACATATGTGTCACCTACGATTCTTCTTGTTTACAACCTATGTTGAGTTATAACCACTTCACACTTCCCCATGAACTTCTAATAATAATTATTCCATGTGTTGTCGATGTTGCTTACAAAGGACTTTGAACTTGTAAAACTACTAAGTTTTTTAACCTTTCGTGGTTTAGTCGACTGGTATCTTTGCTATAGTGAAAGTCTTGTCTACCGCTCTTTTCAAGATTTTGGACATGTTTCTAGATGATCCTAATCTTGTGGATTTGTTCTTGAGATTCCTTCAAACTATATTTTCCTCTATCGACATCTTGATTGATGTTTTGTTGATGCTTCATCATTAATACCCTGAAAACACTTCATTAATGTCTTCTAACACTAAATATCTTTTCATTTTGACATTCTTTGTTGACTTTCTTCTAGCTGAAAATTCAAGTGTAACAGATGTCCCCCCAAAAATGTCACCTTCAACTAACTTCTGAGGGGGAGAAAGGTGGTATTTTTTGTAACTACTTTATCATTGTTTCCCATTGTGATACGGTGGAAGAACTGATTGTTATACTAATTTTGCATTTGTATTCGCAAATGTTGCGGTAAGCAAGAGTCGCCACCGACTTTTCTTTTATCCAACAAATGAAAGGGTGAAAATAACATAAAAGACCTTTTCGAGAATTTTCTGAGTAAGGGGGGTAGATTACGAAAAAGGGAGGTGTTAGCACCCTTTCCATCCGTAGTTTTCTACGGGCTCTTAGATGCTAGTTCATATTTTGAAAATTGCTCATGCTTTGTGTATTTTGAAAATTATTTTTGAAAATTCCTTAGTGCTGCGATTCGCTTTGTGATAACTCTTGTATTAGTCCTCAAGAGTGTTGACAAGGCGAATATTTTTGAAATTGTTTTAAAATGTTTTTGTGTAGGTGCAAAAAGTTGTTTTGAGCAAGCATCTAAGAACTTATCTACTTATACTCGAAAAGGTCATTCTTTTCTCCTAACCTTTAGACAGTGTTATCTTACTATTAGTGAGTAGGTAGCCCTATCGTTGGATGTGTGAGGAACAGACGCGGGTCATCGGTATGGTCATACACCTTAGCAGTTCGAAGGGACTGTCATTATATATTCGTAGGCAACATCGAGGGACAAGATCATTTCTCGTAGACAACTCAAGGGACATTGAGAGACTATGTTATTTATGATGACTTTAACCGAGGGTCTTTGCTAAGAGCATCCCTATGTTCGAGGGACATGACCATTGTTTTTCCGAAGGCAACAAGTGAGGTTACCCTAGAGGTGTGAGTGTGCAAATGATTCATTTCGGTTATTTATCTCGCAATTAGGGTTTTCTATCGTTCATTTTTATCTTTCCATACAACCTATTAATTTAAGCATTGCATAAAATATAGTAGCTGAAGGTAAAGGCAGAAATGTAAACCTAGGCTATTACAGAGCTTTGGGCAGTTACATAATAGTGAAGAGTGCGGAAAAGAAATCCTAAAACTATTACATCGCAGAAGCAATTACATGATAATGATAAAAAACGCGGGAAAAATAAAGCTACGCTATTACAGTTGAACGCGTCCTATACACTTTATCTAGGAAAATAAAAATAAGATGAAAATAGCAAAGAAAATGTTTTGGTGATTTTTTATGGAAAAAAAATTATGATAATTAATTAAATAAACCTAAAAAACCTAATTAATTTTAATTAAAAAAGTTAATTTTGAAAAAAAAGTTAATTAAAAACCTAAAAACTAATTAATTTGAATTAAAAAAAGGTTAATTTTGAAAAAAAGATTAATTAAAAAAAACCTAAAAACCTAATTAATTTTAGTTAAAAAAAAGGTTTTAAAAAAAAGTTTATGTTTAATGATTAACAAAAAGAATTAAGTTTGCCAAAAAATAGATAGGGAAAGAAGCATCAATGGAAAATAGGGCAAGAAAATAAAAATAATGTAAGGGTGTTGAACCAAAAATTAATTTAAAACCTAAAATTAAATTTAAAAAACCTAAAATTAATTATTCGAGTTTATTATGAAAAATCAAAGGTTTGTGAAAAATGTTAGGTTTTATGAAAAATGTTTTAAACAGAAAGAATGAAAATAAGTAAAAGGATAAATAAAATAGAAGAAAATCAAAACCAATAGGGGTGGGTGTTGAACTTACGCCCTTAGCCTCCTCGGGATGCATGTCTTGTCATGAGTCATGCATTGGTTGTTGTTCTGTTTTGACATCAGCGTTTTGTAATAAACCTACACGGGACCATTATATGGTCCAAACCTGTAGTGTTGAATCTCATGAACACGTTAAACAAATTAGTATACCATGAAATAGAAAGAAAATAAACATATGAAATTTTGTAATGTTAAAACCGATATGACATGTATGAATGCTTTTACATCTTTTTGATCATGGAGATCAAATCATCCTTACCCTTATTGGAGAATAGGATGATTTATTTGTAGTGAGATGGGGGTTTGTAACAAGGATGACTTGTTTGTAGTGAGATGAGGGTTTGTAACAAGGATTTCAAGATTTCTAGGGTTCTTGAAAGAGTTTGATATTTTGACAAGGTTGTGGCAAGGTTTTTTTTCGTGTTTGTGTGAAAACAATGAGATAATATAATGGAAATTAGAGCAAAGATATGAGCTTTGAATGTGCAATTGGGCCTCCAATAACCACAAGCAATAGTGCATATTTTTATTTACTTGAGTCTGACACGTTCCAAGATAAATCGCAGGGACTTAAGTGTAATTTTTGAAGTTTAAATGTGAAAACAAAATGTAGCCGACATCGAGAAAAAAATGCTTTCTGAAAATGGGCTCAATCAGATAAACGATGAATTAGTTATGAATTTTTGAAGTTTCGTCTCAGACAAACTTATTTTGGGCTCCAGTGTCAACTCTAACACGTTCTTTAATAAAAAATGGTATTGATTGGAGCATAACTCAATCTCGACTTTGGAAGCAAAGTTGTAGATATCTGAATCAGTGACCTTGTGTAAAAATATGGGCCCGATCCAATAAAAATTGACCGAGTTATGAATTTTCGAAGTTTCGACCCAGATGAAATAATATTCAGCATTCAGGATTTTCTGCGCATCACGCGCACTCTGGGCAAAAACGAAGGCCTTTTGGATATCGTTCAAACTCGATACCTCTTGAGAAAACGTAGTAAACTCAATTTTTTAAATTTTGGCGCCGGGACCAGCTTGATACGATGAAAATCGACCAAGTTATGATTTTCTGAACATGACGCAAATAAACTTCAGTCACAAATTTTATGTACGAAAATACTTGATAAATTCGCATTTTTGAAGATCTTCTGATCGAAATTGGCTTCCATCCGTGAGAGATGAAAATGTAGATGATGTCAAGACGAAATTTTGGCCACCGGAAAGAGTTCAAAACGATCCACGATATTCAAGTTATGAATTTTTTAGTGCGTAAAAACTGCACTTTCAGCACACTTTTTCACCATATTTCTTCGAGAAAAAATTGCACATTCGAAGACCTTCTTTAAAGAATTGGCTCTCGAGCCGAACCTGAATTTGAGAATATGTTATCAGGAATATCTTGGCGAAAGAACACCTGAATATGACGCGTCGGGTTGGACTTGTGAATCTTTGAACCCCGAATCGTTGCGAAACGGCGGACCGAT